ATTTCATATGTTTACTCAGCATGTCATGAGTTATTCCATCTAAGCCATCTGTCACTCATGCTCAGAATTGTGCTAATTGCCATTGTTATAATTTATTATTTATATGTTACACGAATCATTGTTAATCAGTTAACTCCTAGGCTTCGGATTGTTCGGGTGTAATTTTTGGACTTCCAGAATTCACCCTACCGACCTACGTTTATAATAAAGTGCTATTCCATCGTTAGTATTTTTATGTTTTATTGTTGCCGGAAAGTTTGACGCTTATTTTCCCCGGTGATAATTTGGTGGAGATATCCTAAGGGTATAACACCCGGGACTGCTGCATATATTTTGTAGCAGTTTGATCCTGAGTACCATCAACTAAGCGAGTTCCCCCAAGACGACCTATCTTCAACAACACCATGCCAACCTGAAGAAAAGGACTTTACCGCTCCTCCCCAACATCTAACCAGCGCCATTGTCTTTCGCGTCCTTGGATCACACCAGGACCAGCACGAATTTTCTCAACACCAGGATCCAGTCCACGGTGCTATACGTGCGGGAAACCCTTCTTCCACGGCCACCTTTTCACGTGTCCAGCTACACGTTCTGAGTGTTTCGTGTGCGGAAAACATGGTCACTATGCGCAAGTATGTTTCTCTTCTGCAACCACACCTTACCGTTCCTCCCAAAGGAAATCATTTCCAGTGGCGTCCGTCGATCACTCAACGATCAAAAAGGGTCAAGCCAAGGGATCAGGACGGGCCTGCTTAAACCCGTCTGTAGGATCGTCTGACAAAAAGTCGGCAACATGTGATTCTACTGCAGGTGTGTGTTTTTCTCGGACTGCCTCTAAATCTAGTCCGATGAGTGTTGCTGTTGCGGAGACGCAAAGGAAGAGCATACTTTGTCTGCAGACCAAGTCCGTAAGCAAACGGCGCAGGGATTCAAGAAGAATAAAGGATTATTACGATAGGTTGCGTGACATCCGCCCTCCATAATCGAATATCAACATTGCAAGGCAGTCAAAACCCAATGAACAACAAAAACGGAAAATTCAGCCCAGCTAAGCGTGTTACCAAAAGACATCCTTTTCTTCCGCTACCAACATCAACCAAGAGTTACTGGTACCAACAACCCAGTGCTGCGAACTTCAGTTCCGGATATTCCTGAGACGAGGACGTCTCTTTTCCGAAGCGAGAGGGAAATATCACGGTGTGATTTTTGATAAAAACAATTTTAGAAATATACTCTTAATTTACTGTAATTATTTTAAACAATTAACTTGAGAAACTTTAATTATGCTAATTACTATGTAACTCCGAATCTGGAAATTAATTATTTCATATGTTTACTCAGCATGTCATGAGTTATTCCATCTAAGCCATCTGTCACTCATGCTCAGAATTGTGCTAATTGCCATTGTTATAATTTATTATTTATATGTTACACGAATCATTGTTAATCAGTTAACTCCTAGGCTTCGGATTGTTCGGGTGTAATTTTTGGACTTCCAGAATTCACCCTACCGACCTACGTTTATAATAAAGTGCTATTCCATCGTTAGTATTTTTATGTTTTATTGTTGCCGGAAAGTTTGACGCTTATTTTCCCCGGTGATATTTTGATAAAAACAATTTTAGAAATATACTCTTAATTTACTGTAATTATTTTAAACAATTAACTTGAGAAACTTTAATTATGCTAATTACTATGTAACTCCGAATCTGGAAATTAATTATTTCATATGTTTACTCAGCATGTCATGAGTTATTCCATCTAAGCCATCTGTCACTCATGCTCAGAATTGTGCTAATTGCCATTGTTATAATTTATTATTTATATGTTACACGAATCATTGTTAATCAGTTAACTCCTAGGCTTCGGATTGTTCGGGTGTAATTTTTGGACTTCCAATCAATTCACCTACCGACCTACGTTTATAATAAAGTGCTATTCCATCGTTAGTATTTTTATGTTTTATTGTTGCCGGAAAGTTTGACGCTTATTTTCCCCGGTGATAGACTTATCTAATACCTAGAATTGCATATACTTCGAATTTCTGTGTACTAAAAAGACATTAATGTACCCTATCAATACATAAACTACACGAATCTCGAAAACAGGATCTGGAATTACTTTAGTCATTTTAAAAACTGCTAAAATTAGCAATGCTTGGTCATAGTTATTGTGATATTCTTGCGAGGTATGGAATTCAAATGAACAATTTTGAATAAAGTTGTATGTGTCAGAGATAGGGATTTTACGTAAATGTACATATATGGCCTTAAGAAGCCTTTGGAGGGGGGGGGGGTAGCGATTTCAGTTGGGAGGGGATCAGAGATCATTACAGAGCTCACCTCAACGAATGTTGTCTTTAAGTAAGGCAAAGTCACACAATTGACCAATGATATTTTGGAATAGACCTATATAAATACTTCAAACTAGTTCTTTTTCATGAAAATGTAATTAAAATCCAGCATCTGAAGCAAATTTGAGAGTTTTCATCCCTTGATGCATCATTTATGCAAGTTTGGTTTATACAACGTTATATAATCCTTATAGTTTTTTGGTAATTGGTCCATTATCTGAAAAATGTATGTCTAATTCAGTATCCGAAGCAAGTCTATTAGTATGCATCCTAAGATGTATCATCCATGCAAGTTAAGTCATTATAAGGCTCATAGTAACTTAGAAATAAAACCTGCATCAAATCTTTAATCTGTTCACTCATCCACAAAATGTAGGTCAGATTCAGCATCTAAAGCAAGCCTGGTAGTGTGCATCCTTAGATGTACCATCCATGCAAGTTTGGTCAACATAGGGCATATAGTTACTTGGAAATGAGACCTGCACCAAAAACTTTATCCTGTTCACTCATCTGGAAAATGAAGGTCAGATCCAGCATCCGAAGTAAGTTTGGTAGTATGCATCCTTAGATGTATCATCCATGCAAGTTTGGTCATTATAAGGCTCATAGTATGTTGGAAATGAAACCTGCACCTTAAACTTTAACCTGTTCACTCAACCGGAAAATGTAGGTCAGATTCAGCATCCGAAGTAAGCCTGGTAATATGCATCCTTAGATGTATCATCCATGCAAGTTTGGTCATAATAGTGCTCATAGTTACTTGGAAATGAGACCTGCACCAAAAACTTTAACCTGTTCACTCAACCGGAAAATGTAAGCCTGGTAGTATGCATCCTTAGATGTATCATCCATGCAAGTTTGGTCAACACAGGGCTTATAGTTCCTTGGAAAAGAGACCTGCATCAAAAACATTAACCTGTTCACTCAACCGGAAAATGTAGGTCAGATTAAGCATCCGAAGCAAGCCCGGTAGTGTACATCCTTAGATGTATCACCCATGCAAGTTTGGTCAACATAGGGCTTATAATTCCTTGGAAATGAGATCTACACCAAAAACTGCACCAAAAATGTTAACCTGCTCCAAAAACAATAACCTGGTCATTCCTTTGCTGAAATTGCAGCATCTGAAACTTTGACTGTTACAATGAAACACACTAGAAGCATCTTCCATGCATGTCTAATCAATATAGGACACAGTTGTATTTAAAAAGAAAACTGCTCCAAAAACTTAACCTGGGACACCGACGCCGACGCCGAGGGTATTACATAAGCTCCCCCAACTTCGCTGAGGTGAGCTAAAGACCGTTTATCTTTAAATATCCCTAGGTTTTTAGCCAAAATATATTGTAACAGGATGGTAAATACTTTAAACAGTCCCGAGTGTAACGAGATCCCAAATCATGATATAAATGAATACAAAAACCTGTATTAAATTTAGATATAATTTATTGATGATAAGAATCAACAAAACAACAAAATAGAAAAGGGTGTGCAGTGGAAATTACCTGTAACGTTGGAGATTATGGAAAAATACTTTCACTAGTTTCAGGAATCAAGTTTGGAAGGCAAAATATGTATAAATTAGACGCTATAAATAAAGATTTCAATGAAATTGAATGGAGTCAAGCTCCTGTAAAAATAATTATGACTGTATTGAATTATACGGAAAATCAGACTGTACGCGGATAGCGTCGGGAACGCCCGGATCCTAGCGGAGGAGTACCGGTTGTCAAGGACAACCGCACTCCGCCCCCAGGATCCAAGAGCGATAACTCGTATAACCGATAGGTGTCTCCACTACACTCCCCCCTCCTAAGATCTTATGTCAAAGACATAAGTCTAAAGTATATATAATAAGTATGAATATATAAGTGCATATTAACCATAATGTTTTAACAATTCAACATGATATAAAAAGTAACTTCATGTTTAAAACATTTCAGCATAGAGTCACATATTTAAAACAATAAATAATAATTATATTACACTCTGTCGCACTGTTATCTAAGACACAAAGATGCTTTTAAAATTAATAAATAGGTAACAGAGATAACAGTTAAAACATCAATGTTCACAAATCTTCAATTCAATACCATGAATAATATCATGAAATACATTGAAAACACAAATTATTACTGGTAAGTATTCAATACATGCTCAATGTGAGATATAATATCACATTATATCTATAAAGATATTCTTTAATGCAATAAATATTGTTCACAAGCATTGTGTATTACATTAGAATTATTTTAAATCACAGTCCATAGGACAGTCCATGCTCAAAAGCACAATCCATCGCACACGCGAAATAACTTTGGTACGAATTGTTCACATGTAAAGGAACATCCGGGAACGACGGAACACAGTGTAAACACACGGCATGGTCCGAAAATGCGCAAAAACAAATGTCACACGAATGTCATCGCGATACACATATGATGATGTGACATATCACAGTCTCTCCATAGATCTGGATGGAACTCCTTGACTCAGAAACCTGAAGTAAGCTAAGCTTCACACTCACAGTTCAAATAGAATATTACTACATGCCATAACAAATGATGATGTGTTATCTGATTATGATATATGTATAACATAGGTTGACTTTTATGAATAATCTATACATAGATTAATAAAAATAACTTTCTATTTCAGAACAACAACAAACATGAATGGAAAATATGACTATGAAAATGGATCAATGAAAAAAAATGACAACAAAAATGACAGAGGTATGTAAGGATGACAATAACAATGCATATATTTTACTCTTCTGTGTAAACATTAAAAGGTACAAGCTCAACCCTCTTATTCATTCTCTCACTTAAACTAGTACTGTCCCGCTTAAAACAACTTAAACTGCCATCAGGCCTCTCATGCATCTCAAACCTCTCGTCCCTAGAAAAATACAATCTCTCTCGCTCACTCTTATTCCTCTTAATACTATCCAGCTCAAACTTCAATCTCCTGTTCTCCTTCTCATCCTCACGCCTAAGCTCTCTCTCCCTCTGAATCTCGCTACTTTCGTTCAACCTCTTCCTCGCCATCTCACGCATTCTCTCTAACCGTTCTATCTCTTCACTGATACAAGATACAAAAGACTCTAAATCCTCTCTACTTTCAGGTACTGAAGAAAATGGCAGAAAGTCAGTCTGGCACGAAGCTGTAGAAGTAGATATGGACGGCGCGGATGATACACTAGGTGTGGATGATGAAGCTTGTACGGTAGATGACGGTAAGGACACGGACGCTGGAGATGCGGACACAATAGGCTCAGGTGGAGACAACGAAGAGGCAGACTGCACAGGTGGCTCAGATGGTGGTGGCATCACAGCTGGCAGAGTGCCTGGGTCCCGCAGGGAAGCGACAAACTTCAAACTCCCTGGATCAACATAGCCCTTGTTAGGAAGGATGGTAGGCTGACAATTCACTAAAAAGTTCTCGAGGGCAGCGCCTTGTAATCTATGAATGGATCTCAGATGGAATTTAATGTCCGTACGTCTCTTGCAGGAAGAGGTACACCCGGGGATGGAACATCTATACGTACAGGTGGTGTTCTTGTGCTTGGCGTCCCAGTGGCGTGCATACGACTTCCGAGTTGAAAAAATGGTAGATCCACAGGACAGGACAGGGCATGTCATCCCCTGAGTATAAGTGAAAGGACAGACAGAGTTGTCAAGCAAGTCATCAAACTGCAGGAGGTCGTCATCTCCAATAAGAATGTCTAATACGTCAGTGTCCATTACTGAAAATCAATAATTCAGTTATTAATAACTTGCAAATAAATTGCCATAATAGTTACAAGTTTCAGTATTACTGTATAAATGTAAAATACTCAAAATACTAGACAGTGTCAAAGCAATCTGTATACCATATAGATATATATGTCACAATGACATTTTTAACCTTGACCTCAAGGATACACCTTGATAATTTTCTCTTTATGAAATCAAGAAAAGTTCATGTCATACTACTCGGTATACAATAACCGACCATAGTGTTATAATAAACATTCCCATATAGATCTATACTATGACCTAACACAAGGTTGCAATAACCTTTCACTAATATACATATCTCTGAAAGCATATGAGTACAATATCAATGACTTTCCAGAATTTTATTTCTATACATATGATTTGCATGTATCTGCTCATGTCAAACAACAAGGTTTCATATCATAAAGCATATATGGTATAAACTGTAATGATACTACGGTACTGTCATGATTGACTTTGGTTTCAATAACCATGTTTGTTTCTGAATGGTATTCACATGTTTATATAGTAATGTCTGAAACTGCAAAGATTATGCTTTGTATGCGTTTTGTACTGAATGTTTGGTAGGATATTAATAATCTTCATTAGTACACTGAGAAATTTAAGATGATATGGCGATGACTGATGATAATGACACATGATTACATGATGGTTGAAATTGAATTGTATGAAAGCCAACAAAGTTATGGTGAATATTTGAGTGGAGCTTTGATTTGTCTCCCATATCGAGTGTGTTGAGGAGATGCCTCTTTCATGTCTTGACTATGCATGTAGCTCAATTCATCTGAGTCTTCATTGTCCTCTGTGTATGAATCTAATGATGGTGTGTTACTGTACATAACTGGCATTTCTTCTGATATGTATGGCTTTAGATGGTCAACATGGACCACTAACCACTACACCTGTTTGACAACATTGTATTTTGTACGTAACATTACTTATTTTCTTAATAATCTGGTATGGACCTCGCCAACCTAGGCCTAATTTTTGTTTTGCCCAAGGTGGATACCATCTCCACACAAAATCGCCATTATTGTATATTCGTGGTTTAAGTTTTTCATCATAATATTTTTTCTGTCGTTTAAAGCTTGCATCTAATTGCTCACCAGCATGCTGAAATGCTGAAGACAAAGCTTCTTGTACAAATTCAACATATTCACTCTCACAAGTAATTTCATTGTAATTTGGTGGATTACCCGCTATAATGTCAATTGGAAAGTTTATTTCTCGACCTAACATAAGTAAATTGGGTGAACATTTAGTACTTTCATGAATGGCTGCGCGATAAGCCATCATTACATAGGGTATATGGTCATCCCAGTCGTTTCTATGTTTATTAACGAATAAGGCCAGCATTTGTTGAAGTGTGCGATTAAATCGCTCAACCATCCCGTCCGATTGAGGTCGGTAGGGTGTGGTTCGGGTCTTGGATATACCAAGTCTGGCACATAATTCGGAAAATAAAGTAGATTCGAACTCTCTACCCTGATCAGTATGAATGCGACGGGGAGTTCCAAAACGACATATAAATTCAGTGATTAAAACATCTGCTACAGTTTGTGCAGTATGGTCACGTAGGGGAAATGACTCTTTCCATTTAGTAAAGTAGTCACCTATTACCATTATATATTCATTACCATTTTCGGTGATTGGGAGGGGTCCCATTATATCAATGGCAATACACTCTAAAGGTTGATAAGCAGGGCAATGCTGCATTGGTGATTTACCCAGACCAGGACCTTGTTTTCTACGTGCACACAGAGTGCAATTTTTGCACATTATATCAATGGCAATAAAATCTTTGGCGACTCTAAAGGTTGATAAGCAGGGCAATGCCATTCGGTACAACCAGCAGTAACTTTGAGGTATTTACCCAGACCAGGACCTTGGACGTTACTTTTCACATTTTCGACTTCATGCTGAAATGCTGAAGACAAACTTTACAAAAACATTTGCATTGTAATTTGAAGGGCCACCCCTCTCAATAGGGTGGGGTTTTCTACCACCAGATAAGCTAAACTTATGTGGAAGCATCCTGGGGTTGTTTACTTATAAAAATCATGAATGGGATAAAGTCAAACTTTTACATGGAAATATATAGGAAAAATATTTAAAAATCTTCTTCTCAGAAACTGTCCGGCATTCTTAGGTTTTTGTTAACCATGACCCCCGGGGATGGGGAATAAACTGGTTACATATATGAAAAATATTTAAAAATCTTCTCCTCAAGTTGGGCCCAGAAACAAAGCATAAAATCTCATTGGCGGATATGCAATCCATAAGTTTTAAAAATCTCTGATTAAAACCACTGGGCTAGAAGTGAAACTAATGTGGAAGCAGTCCAGGGTCTAAATCTTGGCCATTTTGGGGATAAAAGTTTTGCATATTACCATTATATATTCTTTACCAATCTTTTCTCAAGAACCACTGGGCCAGTAGTCAATGGTAAATTGTTCAAATCTGAAGGGGATAAGCAGGGCCACATGTGGGGAATCAAAGTTTTACATAGAAATATATGGGAAAATCTTTACCTCATTTTTTCTTATGTGGAAGCACAGGGTAGTGTAAGTTAAAGTCATGACCACCAGGGGTTTGATAATGGGGAATCAAGTTTATATAAAAAAATCTTTTCGCAAGAACCACTGCCAGAAAAGCTGAAACTTAAAGCATAATTTAAATTGTTCTATCATATCGACCATTTTACAATGTTGTATCAAAGCATATGTGTAAATTGTTTACATTATGTCTTTAGGTAGGGTGGGGTCACAAAATGTATAACAAGGGGGAAATCTGGTAAAGAACGGAATGCTTCTCAGGTGAGCGATGTGGCCCACGGGCCTCTTGTTAACAATAAGGTTTTCCCTTTGATTCCAAAGTTGGCGAATAGCTGGGTTACTCTTGTAAACATGATTTAAAGTTTCTGTTTTATTTTCAACCATTTCAAGGACCACTTTTATTGATGGGTCATCTGACTGAAGCTGAGATACGTAATCGTCAGACCACTTTTCTAACCAATTAGTAGTTCTGGAGATAGACTCACTCGAACTTTTAGATTTTACTATTGCAGACACGTTGCACCCTCAACTTTCTTGTCTACATCGACGTCGGGGTTTTCTTGACATAACGTCTGCATTAACATGCAAAGACCCCTTTCGATGCTGTATATCGAAATCGTAAGTATCTAAAGTGGTTATCCATCGGGCAACCATGCCTTCAGGTTCTTTGAAATTTCGGAGCCATTTTAATGAAGAATGGTCGGTCCTAAGTAAGAACTTTTTACCCCAAAGGTAATGTTTAAATTGTTTAACAAAAACTACCACAGCTAAAAGCTCGCGATAAGTAGTACAATATCGACGCTGAGTTTTTGATAAAGTCTTGCTTCCATACGCAATAACTTTCTCTTCTCCATTTTGAAGCTGAGACAGTACGGCGCCTATGCCATCATTTGAGGCATCAGTATCAAGAATAAAAGTATCGTATCGGTTCGGGTATGACAAAATTGGGGAAGAAACTAAAAGTTTCTTAAGAGTATTAAATGCTTTGTCGCAATCGTCGTTCCATATAAATGGGACGTCTTTTTGTGTAAGTCTATTTAGTGGATATGCCACTGTTGCAAAATCCGGTATAAATTTCCTATAGTACGAGGCTAAGCCAAGAAAACTCTTGATTTCCGTTACAGTTTCTGGCCTATCCCAATCTTGAACAGCGCGAGTTTTATTTGGGTCACATTGGACACCATCTTTTGACACTACGTGTCCAAGGAATGAAACCTCGTTTCTAAAAAGAACACATTTTTTAGGTTTTAATTTGAGATTTGCATCTCTAAATCTATCGAACACTGCTGTCAGATTTGACAATGTTTCTTCAAAAGTTTTCCCAAAAACGATAACATCATCTAGATAAACTAGACAACGTTCCCACTGTAAATTATGTAATATTAATTCCATTAACCGTTCAAAGGTCGCAGGACTATTTGTTAAGCCAAAAGGCATGACCTTGAACTGGTATAGTCCTTTATGAGTCGCAAAAGCAGTTTTTGATTTATCGTTTTCGTTCATGGCCACCTGCCAGTATCCACTAGCCATATCAAGTGTACAAAAGTACCTTGAGCCTGAAAGTGCATCTATTGACTCATCAATTCGGGGTAGGGGGTATGCGTCTTTGACGGTTATGTGATTTAATTTGCGGTAATCGACGCAAAATCGAGTACTTCCGTCTTTCTTTTTTACCAAAACTATGGGAGATGCCCATGGAGAAAAACTTGGTTCAATAACGTCTTGTTCGAGCATATTTTGTATTTCATTTTCAGCTATTTCTCGCTGAGCTAAAGGTAATCTTCTTGGGGGTAATTTGATTGGTTTATTATTACCAGTATCTATTGTATGAGTGACTTTGCTAGTACGACCTAACTTTCCATCTGAACTCACGAACACGTCAGTATATCGGTATAAAACCGAGGCTAACTTATTTTTTTCGTCAACGGTGAGCTCAGTTGAGATATTCTCAAGCATAACTTTTAAATGATCAGGTACCTCACAGGTCTGTGTTTCATTAATGTCAACTTTTGTCATTTTGTTTCCCTTGAAATCACATTCAACAAAATTTGAGAAACCTTGAATTGTCGCAACGGGCGTATTTTTCTTGAGTTCTATAGACTCAGAATTTGTATTGAGGATGGAGAAAACGAATTTACCCTCCCTGATATTTACAACTGATTTTGGAATTAATATTCCTTGATTTAGGTCACCACCAGTGTGAGGTTCAACGACACCCTCTGAACTCATAAATTTTGAATTTCCTATACTCCCCTCTACAAATTTCTCTGACTGACCAGAAATGGTTATGTCATCTGCGAGATAAACTCGTGCACATCCTAAACTGTGTTCACTTTCAAGTTTTACTTTAAAATCTGAAAATATTAAAATTCCCTTCCCCACATCAAATAAAACTTCATTTTTAGACAAAAAGTCTAGCCCAAGGATTCCAGAAAGCCCTCCCAATTCAGC